GAAAACTTCACTAAACAAGCAAACGCAACAGTGTTATGTTACTGACTTTACCGTTTAGCTTACGGAAAACCTCGAGCCGAAACATATTATTATGAACCATGATAAATTAATCTGTACAATAATACTAACTAATAAGGTGTATTATAAAGTACTGTTCGTTCCTATATATTATACATATTAAATTAATATTATATATTTTATCTGAATTAATTTTATTAATTAACTTACCAATTATACAATTACTTTAATACATTTTTGAAGTTATACTTCTTTACGCACGGTAGTGAGGAAAAAAAAAGCGAACTGGCGGCCGTACGAACGCGAAAGCGTACATGTCAATAAATAAATAAATATTGTCATGGTAATGTTGTTTTATTATATATTATAATATATATATATATATATCTGTATATATAAAACAGTAAGCTGATTGACTGCTATCAACGCACAGCTCAAACCATTGGACGGATCTGCTGAAATTTGGCATACAGATAGCTATTATGATGTAGACGTGCGCTAAGAAAGGATTTTTCGAAATTCGCATTTTAAATAGGTGCTCAAACAGGGACATTGAGATTCAAGATGGAAATTGGAAATTTTATTTTTATTTATTAACAGTTGCAATTGGTTACAGTCCACATTAGAAATTAGCATTTATTTATTGATTGCCATTGGTTATTCGGGCAGATCAGGTACAAGCTTGCATCAAATCAAATTATTGAACATTGCCTACCAGGGTGGCTGAGTTGCACTTACCCCAGCAAGTTACACCCAAAAGGAGTTCAACAATCATAATTTTTTTAAGAGTTGTGATTTTTTACGAGCAACCAAATTTGTTATATTAATCCACCGTATTATATCAAAATAAACTTGGTCTAACTTTGATAATTTAGAGTTAAATCATACACTTCCGTACAAACAGCACGGGGTCCGCGATCTACCGCAGGTAGATTGCCTACCTGATAATGTACTGCTGCGATTCAGAATTTTTATTCCGGGCAACGGAAAAGATAAGATAAATTTTGAACACCATACACCGAATATTGAATAACGAATTGAACAAAGTTTGAGTCATAACTCATATTGAGTTGATAGTTGATACATTTAAAGGGCGACGAAGTGCACGGGATCAGCTAGTATTATATATTATAATCGGGCCATACTAGTTAATATGAATAATTAATGATCGATTATTATTTATTTTTATTATTATTATTAGTATTCACTCATAAATCTATTGTCTGGATAAAAACAATACTACAAACAATTATCAATCGATCTGTCGAATAAAAATATAAAAAAAATAATAAAACTATCAATAATAAATAATTCCGGATACTTATTCTCATTTTTTAAATTAATTAATATTTTTTTCTTTCTTTTTCACTCACTCACGTGTACCATTCAAAAGAAGTTTAACTTCCCGCGCGCGTACTGGTAACACACATGGTTTTTTTAGATTTTGAGCGGAGCGTGGAAGTTATAGTGGTTTTACAATGGTGTTTGTTTTTGATTTTTAATTTTTTTTTCATCCTGTATACAATGTTTCTACCAGAAAGAGTGCTTCGATATCAACATATTATAGTATCTTATCTTTTAGCAAATTAATTCAAGATGGTACTTTAGACAGGTAATTTTTCGATTTTCTCAATAGTTATTTGATGGCACAAGAAAAACCACCGACAAATTATGAAAAACCGCTAAAAACAGAATATTAATTGTGTATCACCATAGAAACGAATAAAAAATTATAACAGTATAATGTTAATTCAACTTACAGGCTATAATAAATAATAACAATATAAAATATCGAGAGTGACAAACCGTCTGCTCTCAGAATCGTTTTTCCTAGACAATTATGATATTATACCATTGAGTTCAAGTTTAATAGAATCCATTGTAATCCACTGTAGGTACAGCAGAGCGACGTCCACTTACTCGCTTTTTTTTTAAAATATTTATATATTTTTGTACCAAAAAATTCAACTTCATGACGGATATAAGCTAGGTACCTATTCAAACGGAAACTATAGTACAATATAGTTTGATAAAATTCGCACTGAATTAGAATGTTTTTTGAAAATAACGATTGTTAAATGTTGTAAAATATTATAACATGTATAGGTACATTTTACATAGTACATGCGTACATATTCATAAATTTATATATATATGCATAGGTAGTTGTGTGTAATTTGTATTATGCTAATTATCTCGATCGTGACGGAACGTGTAAAACCAGAAGTCGATTGAGTATAAAAAAAACCACTTACCTATAATATACGGGGGATTTGCCCTGGTTTTATTCGTTCAAAATATCGTGTTACACTCTTACTTACATATTATACCAGATGTCCAGATACCTTACCTACCATAATATATGCCATGTAATATTTCAGATTTATTACTGGTTTATCTGATACATATTATTTTAATGAATTAAGAGGTCTGTCAGTAGGTACTCTGCGCAGTGTCGCTATATACAGTCTTTTTCAACGAGACAATTGTAATATTATGTCATTGTAAAACAGTTCACGCCATCTACCGGAGACCACAAACGCCACGCAAAATCGATACAATCTCATGAAGACGAGCAGAACCGGCTGAACATAGTAAGTCTGAACATAAGTAAATAGAAACCGATTTTCGTATGTTGCGTTAAAACTTAAAAATACATTTGAATTTACCTTACCAATTTGTACTCAACATAACATAATTAATCAAACGATAATACGATATACCTACGTATATAATGACAGCTTCATAATATACGAGTTAGGTACCTATATGGATATAATTTATGTCATCGTATTGATGATATGTATAATTTAATAGGTATACACAAAATAAATCGACAGAGTTTGTATTTTGTTAATTTTATTTTAACTCAGTTTACTTGCCTATCGAATTTTAGAAAAAGGGTCATTTTTCCGCAGTTTATCATCTCTCTTTTCGCCAATGCTGTAATTGTTGCATTATAGACCACGTAAAACGTAGTGCGTCCGATATTCACCAACTTCTCGCCAATGTTCCAATCGTCTTATCACGTTACCCGGTTATCGGTAACACAAGCTCGTACACCGTCAGTAACTGTTGTCATCAATTCTACAATGGATCTTGGTAAATCGGTCAGTTCATCGACTACAAACACGAACGAAACCGTAAGTCATCTTTGCCTATGAAAGCATTTCACTCTAAATACTGTATTCAATATTTAATTATTATGTCTATAAATATTTTTCGGAATATAAATAAAACAATATGCTAAGTAGCATTGAAAATATTGTGTAAGACAAATAAATTGCATAAATGTTGTACAAAATTGTATATGTAAATAAAAAGTTATAATGATAACAGAAAATCTTAGCATTTGCGTGTTCACTAAAAACCAATCATGGGCAGATTATGGGAGTCAGGGGAGTGGGGAGACTTTTGATCTTCCTAGACCAATGAATATTTTTAATCGAAGTTAATTTATACATTCTTTAATAATCTAGGTGGTGTGTATAGATAGGAATGTCAGGTACCTATACATAAAATGTTGATATTATAAGACACTACGCCTAGTAATACGCCTAAATAGGTTTTTATTATATAAGTTCTAAAATAAAATATTACTCTCATTCGTTCAAAATTCAACAAAATTTCAAATTGATTTTTTTTAAATTATCGACTATCAATAATTTATACTCCATGAAATGGGTATTTTTTAATTTTGAAAATAATAATTATTAAGCATTTTCTGATATTTTTTTTGTATATCATAGTAAAAAGTCATTGATCATAATAAATTATTGTATTAAAAAAAACAGCGGTAAAATATTCACACTATATTTAGAATTATATCTACTTACTTTAAAATTAATAAAAATACTTTTTGAATATTTATACATAATATAATAAATATTATAACTTGATTTTTTTTTAAATAAACATTTAGATCTTAGTTTTATTCCTTAGCACTATTTTCGACAGTTAAATTCGTTTCATGAGTGTAAACGAGTTCAAAAACAAAATATTTTATAATATGATAAAATATACACTCACAAGGTGGTAGATAGGCAACCTAATCAACATCAATTTTAGGTATCTATCGATGGTACGTATACGTAACGATATTTATTTAATTTACTAATAACATAAACAAAATAATGTAAACATTTATTTTTCTATTTTAGTTTATTACTTAATTTATGACAAAATTAAAAAGAGTTTCTATTGTGCTTAGTATTAAATTTAAATGATTTATTTTTTTCAATAAAATATCGATAATTTCATTTCATACTTGAGTATTATCTAGATACATGTATTAAATGTGTTATATAGAACTCACTAACTCAGATTCACTTAATAAATTATATGCTAATATTTTCATTGAATTTTCTAAAATATATTTTAAGACCTCATCAAATTACATTAATTGTTTTTGATCTGAGATTAATTTAGAAGACATCTACGAAATTCAATTACATCGTGATAATATTATAACGATTTATATTATCTTATACAGAGGAAAGAATATTAAAGTCTTACTAACAAAAGGAAAGCAGGCATGATCAATATAATATGATTGCATTGCAAATCTTGAAATATATTTATCAATAATATAAATATATTAAAATAATATTCTTGAATGTTATAAACTTAGTTTGGCAAAAATAATTGTATATTATTTATTTGAACATTTTGATTCGCCTATAAACTATCATCTAATACATTATGCAATAATTTAGTATACAATGCTAATATAATTTAATAGGCATATTAATTGCATGTAAATATATAATAATATTTATGCCTATTATATACATGTACATAAATATTAGATTTTTCTAACAATATGAAAGACAATAATAATACTTTTGAAATTAGTATACATAATAATGATTATGAGTAACAAAAAAATAATGAAAATAAATATTTAACTAGATATTTAAATATAAAAAGGAATGTAAGTTTATGACTAATGTGCCTGCAGGACAACGTAAACGGTAAACGGTCTAATTTGGCTTAAGAACGTTATCCATAAACTGTCCCATTATGTTGCCTGGCGGATTATAATTTGCGACGATCACAATTCTTCCAGACTTGCCTTTCACCATCGCTATACCCATGGAGTGTGAGCCTTTCCACACGAGTTGAGTGAATTGTCCTGCAATCAAAACGGATCGCATACCCAAATAAATTATACTGTATTATACATTTATACTATAGAAGAAATCGCAATACGATCGTTTACAGAAAAATTTATTGACGTATGAAACACTTCCGACTGGTCATCGGAGAAACTTGCAGTCATCGGAGAAACCAGATGTACGAGATGGACTTATCTTTGATTAAAACAATTCCGTAGCGCTGATATCATAGGTGATTTATACATTCAAATTATTTCGAAAACATTACAAAAAAAATACCAAAACCATAAACGGTTTATCCTAAAATTATGTCTTTATATGTACCTATTTCAGGCTTATCGAAGACCGTATTGGCGATCTAATCGGAAAACTCACTTTCTGGAAATAAAGTCTATTGTTTATTCTTTTCAAACATTCAAAATTGGTAACAATAATTACAAAACATACATTTTTGCTCGAACCAAACATCAAATATTGCAAAATTGACCATTCCGTCTACCAATGTTCACGATAATATTATACAATAAAATATTTTTCGTGTTACATATTTTCCACCAAAACAAAACTTCAAATTTTTATATTTTGGTTACCTCCAACGCCAATAAGCTGGTTTAACAAGTTTTACATAATGTTAATTTTTGTAGTATGCGTAATCATGTGACGTATGATATACGCCACAACTATTAAGCTATTCTGGAACAAGTTTTCGTTGTTTTTAGAAAATGAATATAGCTTTTTGTTTTTTTATTAAGAAAAATACTAGGAATTTTTGACTTTTGATCACCTAAAATACCAACTATATTCACTTGTGTGGTACCAGAAAATGGTTGTACGTACATGTTGAATGAATTAGGGGAGGGGGGGAGTTAAAAATATATCACCGTAGTTTCCCTTTGTTTTACACTGTGTTTAGCCAATTTTATAGCCAATTTTTGTACTTTTTGTACTTTTGCCCTCCCCCCCCAAAAAAAAAAATTAAGCCCTGGATCCTCCAATAACTAAAATTTTATATATAACATGACATAGTAGTTGTTAGTAGTTACGATGATATTAAGAAATAAGATGTTGGAAACACTTTACATTTTCGATAATGAAACTTAAATATGACGTTATAAAATGTGAACATTACTACATTAGTGGTCCACGTTGATGTTGATTTAACGCAAAAACAACAACTAACGTAATGTTATAAATAATATTTTAGAATAACACGTATCTTAGTATCTTACCATTATGTTGATTTGAAACTTATCTTAAATGTTTCTGTAACATAATATGGCGAAGTGGGTTGTCGCATGTAATGCCATGTGCATGTGCGTGTCGGGAAATTACGCGTTATAATATTATGCAAGCATGCTCACTAAAGTTTGCCTATGATCATTTATTACGCAAAGTCACGTGGCTCGTACATGTACTATTCATATGGCTTAATAGGACTCCTTAAAAACGAACAGTTTTCAAAACAATAAGGTGGATATTTTGGCCGATAAGCGAAACATCCTCCGCAGGATCTATATATTATGTCGTTTATACTTTATGCCAAATACTCTATAGTACAGTGTCTATATATAGTCTATACCATCAGAACAATTTACGGAATTTTTTTTTTTAATATTCGCGATCGATGCAATTATTTGTGTAAACTCGGTAAAGCACGATTGAGCATAAAACGATTGAGCATAGACCTTTTTAGCAACACGATTGAGCATAGTTTATTTTATGCGATGTTGCCACATTCACGTTGCCAACATTTTGTAATTTATTATTTTCTCGTATTATTACACCAATTATTATGATATCTGACGCGAGCCGTGAGCTTTATCGACTTAATCAATTTTATCGACAATGTTATCGATTAATAAATTAGTTCCGGAGCAAAACGACGTTTTAAACATTTAGCATCGGGAGAAAATATAAGATAATTAAGATACAAATCCAAAATTATTATAGAAATAATATCAGTGTTCGATCACCTGTATAGTGTATAGTGCGTGTATACTTAGTGCGTTTTTCTATTTTTTTTAAATATGGATATAACAATTATTTTATCGGAAAGAGGCAAAGAATTGGCCCTAGTTAATTTATACAAGTATAAATTAATGTTATATTTTGTTATGTTATATTTCATGTTATATTTTGAAATATTATAATTATTTAAATAAATGTTTTTATACGATACAGTTCAAAATTGAAAATGGCAACGTTGCAGAGTTTTTTATGCTCAATCGTGTTGGTTTTCTTTTGTATTTCAATTTCCTTTGATACGCCGACAATTTATGCTCAATCGTGTCGCAAAAAAGGTGTTTTATGCTCAATCGTGTCGCAGCCGTGTAAACTATACAACATTTAGAAGCTCTACGTCATAATAAACTAATATTCAATACACAATGGATTTTATACTTTCGGAATAGCGAAAAATATGTGTGACATTCCTGTACCTGTGTTGATAAGTAGAATGTACCTACAACCTACTCATCATTCATAAAATAGTAAAAAAAAAATGGCACAACGTGAACTGTGCAGGTATAGGTATATAAGTGGTGTTTTACGCAGACCTGCGATCGACGACATTCTGTAGACTTTCTAATCATTTTCATAATAATATACTCAGAAAACTTTTAATGAACCACCTCGTACGTTTGATCGAGTGCTGTGATCGTTACCTGATTTTATAATTCTAGGTTCTCTCGAGTAATCGTAATCTTTTCCCGCTTTGTACCAGTTGCATATCGCGTCTCTGGCCGTCACCTGGTTCGACGACCAAATGCTGAACAAGTTCTCGCCAAAAGGATTGTCTGGCTGATGGACGAATTTGTCATCTTTGGCTAATGTTTTTGCCCAGGTCAGCGCGTTCCGACACAACTGACAAACAAAATTAAACAAATAAAATACAATTTCTAGACCATTAATAGGCAATACAACTATTTGATGAATACACCGTTCATAATATAAGGCGTGTATCTATAATACTTCATTGATAAATTATTATAAAGTACGAATTATCGTTTAGATTCATCAAATTACTGCTATTATTAAATAATAATGATTTATGATAATAATCATAGTTGACGATGAAGAAATAAAAATCATGCATGAATTAAAGATCTATTATTTTAGAAATTAGCTCATTAAAATATAAGTATACTATTTTAGTATTACGCAATATATCGTATGTTATTGAAATAGATGTACCTATATATTTATTATTACTCACCATTTTGTTCAAAGTCAGTGGCCCGGAACCATGTTTCAGCCTGTAGTCATTATGTAGCTTTAAACTGTCTTTATACAACTGTTCGTCCGTGTACGAGAGCTGTACAAGATGAGGACTGAGCGGCGCGTCTTTAAAACCACTAAAACCAAACGTGTTATATAATATTATTATATATATTAAACAATATAATATATATTTTCATTGTGTCTTCGACGAGTATAAAAAATAAAACAATAGATTGGTTTTACCCGACAGGTGGAACGTTTTCTCTAAACTGGCCGAGAAAATTTCCGGCGGGATCGTAACAGGCGACCACGAATATTTGTCCGGAACGGTTGGACGCTACGCCAACTCCCATTTCTTTGCTGGTCGCCCAAACCACCTGTGAAAAATGACCTGCGGAAGCGACGGACAAAATTATAAAATTATTTCCAGACATTATTGAAATCTGCAGCAAGCGCGGAAATGCGTCTAACCAATTAATAACATCGGTAGTGCATAATATTATTATTGTACTCAAGCCCAGATTAAGGATCAATTGGGCCCCGGGATACCATACACTTAGTGGGCCCCCTTTCAACAACTTTAACTTCAAAATAATTGTATCATTACATATTAACGACTTTATATTAGGTATTATATAATTTTTTACTATACAAAAATAAAAATATATACAGGATGTATATTATGTCATTGTACACGGTTTTTTTTAACAATTAGGTACGGATCGAAGATATAGAATTTCGTTAAAACAAAAAAAAGACACGCGTTTCTTTATTTTTTTTATAACATATTTAAAAATTTTAAACACGCAGTTGTACCAATAATAAAATCGACTTTATTTTTTCAAATGGTACCTAACCACTATATTTTTTGATGGATTCAGGTAAAGCTTTTTTCTGAACATTTTGACAGTCAAATGATCAATTTTATTTTTCTAGGTTATTAACTATGGTCCTCTAAAGTTTAGTATAATAATATGTATTAATACTTATAATACTTGTAACGAGACAGAATGGACTATGTTATTTTTTTTCTCACAATAGCGTGTGGACTCGCTATCGACGCGCCGCCCGCAGACCACGCCGGAACTATCACACACAGTTTCGTACGCAGCAGGCGCAAGTAAGACACACTAGATGTCGCGGTACTCGCCTACCGTTTTGAACGACACGTTCCAGCGACATTTACGGATGAAAAAACGAAACTTACAAGTAAGTTTCGTCCCACTACTAATAAGAAAATGTCCCCGGATGCACACCTTTGATTCACGAGACCACCCGCAGATGTAGAACCATCAAAGGTCAACAAAATGCTACCCACCGAAGTCTATGATCTCAAAACCAGCAGTAGTCATCACATGTAGTAAATAGACCCCGGTGAACCGGCAAAAAAATACTACTCTCTCTCCGCTAGTAGTCGTATCTGGTGTTTACCGTATTCACGGAAGCACAAACAGTGCGACTTACTTCATTCCGCCGCCGCACTTTCTTGCCGCTGGTGTTTACCGTTATCAAACGGAAGCACAGACAGTCCGGGTAAGAAAAGTCGTTCGTTCCGCCGCCGCTCTTTCTTACCGCTGGTGTTTACCGTTATCAAACGGAAGCACAGACAGTCCGGGTAAGAAAAGTCGTATATTTATTTCGCCGCTGCCGAACGTTGTTTTCCGCCGCCGCTCTTTCTTACCGCTGGTGTTTACCGTTATCGAACGGAAGCACAGACAGTCCTGGTAAGAAAAGTCGTTTCTTTATTTCGCCGCTGCCGAACGTTGTTTTCCGCCGCCGCGCTCTCTTGCCGCTGGTGTTTATCGTTACCAAACGAAAGCACATACAGACCGGGCAAGAATCGCCGATTAGTATTTCGCCGCTGCCAAACGTTGTTTTTCGCCGCCGCTACCCTTTCTTGACACTGGTGTTTACCGTAACCAACGGAAGCACAGACAGTCCGGTCAAGAAAAACGTTATTGTGTTTGAACTGCCGATCGAGAAACTGCGTTGCAGTCTCGACCGAGCATAAAGAACCGCCGATCGAGAAACAGCGTTACATAGTTGAAACCGTGATAATATTTCCGATCGATTCACAGTGTTGGAACGTCGATTTTCATACGTAAACACACGGTAAACATATTGATACGGTAGTAATCAATAGTTTTACCTACCTAACCGTTTACTTTCGCACAACTGCTAATACGTCGTCTAAGTGAACGACCATTTCGGACTACCCGCAACAAGCAGCTCAGTTGGACATTACAGTGACAGTTTCCAAGCAGTATCCGTGAGTCCAATACTACTACTTTGTATTTTGTCAAATTTATCCTTGCTAAACGTATTTTTAAATGTACATTGCTTAATGCAATTAAAATCATATATAAAAGAAAATATTGTCACTTAATAACTACATTGAACAATATTGTCAATAAACAAAAGATAATATTATATTTGAAGCAAATACTTGTCTCTGCATTCATTTATTTATATTACATTGGCGCCCAACTACGAGGCTCGATAGAGAAGAAAATTCTACTTCGATCCCCAAGATTAAAAGTGAAAATTTTCTACGTCATTTTCTACGTCGATTTGCAAAGAAGAAAACTACATCGTGAACATGGCACCGAAGAAAAACATAACTGAAGAAACGTTCCACGCGTTCCAGCGTGAAGTGGAGCAAAATAGTAAATACCTAGTCGACCAATTATTACAAAAAATAAATAAACTTGAAGAAAAATGTAATAATATGGACGAAAAATACAAAAACTTAGAAAATGAAAATAATAAGAAAATTAACGAAATCGAAGAAAAATACAAAGACATTGAACAGGAGCTAAACGCTATTAAAATTAAAAGTGATCGTATTAGCCGACAACAGCTACACGACCAAAAAACGGAAATGGGACACAATACTGAAATCTCACGCCCCACATTTTTTGGAAGTAACCGTGATGTACATCCAAAAGACTTTTTATATCGACTCGAGGAGTACTTCGCTGTTAAGCAATCATATATTGGTGAAAAAATTATTATTGTTGGTGATTGTTTAAAAGCAGCTGCTTTCAGTTGGTTCTCGACGATAAGGTTTCAACTATCCAGCTATGATGACTTTAAAAAAGCATTTATTGATGAGTTTTGGTCTCGAGAAATCCAAATCCAAGTTTGGAGTCAATGCTTAAGCACTAAGCAGGTACCAGCCAACACAAATTACCGTGAACATTTTGCTACATGGGCAACAAAATTAAGACATCTGGAAGTGCCGCGGTTGTCCGAACAAGAAATAGTCAAACACATCGCCAAGCACTATCCAGGCTACCTCCGTGCCATACTTATCTCATTACCCGATTGTACCATACTCGCAGCAATGAAAATACTTGGGGAAGAAGGACAAGGTGATCAACCTCCAGAGAACAATTCTAATAATTCTACAAAAAACAACAATCAAAACAACAACCAAAACAACAATCAAAACAATAACAATTGGAGCCACAGAGTTCCACAAAATGATTGGAGTCACAGAACACAACAACGTAACAACAATCAGCCACGGAACAGCAGGTGGAACAACAGGGACGAACAGCCGTCACAACAACCACAGCCACCGCAGTCTCGTGACACAACACAACAAATAAATCAGGTGACTACCAATAATATCAGTGAAAATCACCCGGGCGAGTCACATTCTATCAATTTGATACAAGATAAAGAAGAGTCGTTCAGTCCATACATTCAATGTTGGGTTGAAGGAGAAGAGGTGGAACTACTGGTAGACACAGGTGCTACTATTAGTGTTCTCACCAAAGAAATTGTCGACGTCATAGTAAAAAAGGATCCTACTATTCCACAATTACCTATCAGTGGAGTACGGATAAGCAACGCAGTCGGGAAACAAATCTGCAAAATTTCCAAACAAGTATTCTGTAAGTGTCAACTTAATGACGCGGTGTTCCACGCCAACTTCATACAAGTAGACGGACTCAATGAAAAGGGCATTATCGGGGCAGACATACTCCACCAACACAACGCTCAAATAAACTTCCGCAACCACACCATACAATTTGAAGTAAATAACAAAGCATACTCAATACCATTCTCCAAGAAACTGCCTAAACCAATAACAATGGACAGCAACCTACGAGAAATAACTCTAATAGATCATGACGAGATGGACGACACAGTCGACATCAGCCATGAAGAACAAGAACAATTTAACGCAGTCATTAAAAAATACCAGCATATTTTTTCCGACAGCCCGGGGAAAATCAAGCAATTCGATTGTCAGATCAGAGTTACTCCTGGGGAACCAATCTACCAGAAACCATACCCAATACCAATGTCAAAGGCCATCAAAACTGATAAAGAAATTCAAAGGATGTTGAATTTAGGAATAATAGAACATTCAAGCTCACCATGGTCTTCACCCATGGTAGGGGTGGAAAAGAAAAACGGAGACATCAGAATCTGCCTGGATGCTCGAAAAATAAACACCCGGATTATACCCGACAGAGAACGACCAATGAACATGGAGGACATCATGAGCAAATTCAGGGGAGTCAAATATCTGAGTTCCATCGACCTCACCGCCGGATACTGGCAATGCTCTCTAAAACAGGAATGCCGAGAAATAACCGCATTCTTACACAAAGGCCGAAACTATCAATACAAGGTCTTACCATTTGGCCTTGTCAACTCCGTCGCAGAATTTCAAAAAATCCTCGACCAAGTGTTGGGACCTGAAATCCTACAATTTGTTGCCATATACGTGGATGACCTACACATCACGTCTAGTAGTTTCAACGAACATATGGACCACCTGGAAGCTATATTCAATCGATTCGATCAATATAATGTCAAAATCAATATTAAGAAATCACATTTCCTGAGAAAAAAAATCACTTTCCTGGGACATATCATATCAGAAAAGGGTATCACCATGGACCCAGAAAAAATCAAGACAATACAAAATTTTCAACCTCCACAGAATAAAAAACAGATACAGGCGTTCCTTGGATTCATCAACTTCTATAGGAAATATATCAGAGACCTATCAAAAAATACTGAAGTTCTCAGTGCACTGATCAAAAAAGGAGTTCCATGGAAATGGGACATACCACAGCAGCAGGCTTTCGAAGAAATCAAAATGCAGTTCCTCGAAGACATCATAATTCAATATCCAGATTTTTCAAAGAAATTTTATGTTAGTACAGATGCATCAACCACTCACATTGGCGCAGAGCTATTCCAGAAAACTGATGAAGGACAGCATCAGACACTCAGCTTCATCAGCCGAACGTTGAACTCGGCCGAAAGAAACTACGGCACCACCGAACTTGAACTGTTAGCCATCGTCTTTGCATGTAAAAAGTTTCGCAATTACATATTAGGACACGAAACACATTTACTCACCGA